CCCTAAGCCCTATAAGCCCCAAAACCTCAACCCTAACACCCTTAACCACGCAGAACCCCAAACGCCCCAATGGCAAACCCTAAATCCAAAACCCTAAAGCCCTAAAACCCTGAAACCCTAAGCCCTAAACAGGGCCCCTACTCGGCGCCGAAGACCCCACGCACTCCGGCCTCAACGGCTAGCGAAGCTTTTGAGTCGCACGCCTGGGGCTCGGTGCCATGAGGGCTACTATATGGGTCGATAAGGGTTACTATAAGGGGGTATTATGAGTGTTACTATAAGAGGGCATTATAAGGGTTACTATAAGGTGGGTATTATAAGGGTTACTACAAGGGGTCTAGGGGTGGTGTTTTAGGGTTTAGGGTTTGAGGCTTCTTGTGAGGGGGACGGGGATTCAGGGTTTAGGGTCTTCAGAGTTTTGGGGTTGTTGGCTTTTTGTTGGGGGGTCTGAGGGTTTGGGGTCTTCAGGGCTTGTTCGGCCTTTTGAAGCATTCCAGGGTTCACGGTTACCGTTGATGTCTCAGGGCTTTGAAGTTGACGACATCTCCATGACGGCTACGGTCAGGAGTGAGGTAGGTCGACTACGGGTTTTTGTATGTCGTCACCATGACAGGACAAGTACTAGCTTGAAGCTCAAGCAGGCCTTGGGGTGTTTGGGTTTCAATGACTTTGGGACTCAGGAGACGGGGGGGCTTCCCAGCTCTTCTTCATGGGATGGAAAATTATTGAAAGTTCCGGGAGCTGTGATTTCTTGAAACGGGGGGCATCTTATCTCTGTGTCCTGAAGATCAGGACTTCACTTTTCGGGGCTGGTATCAAGGTCTCCAATTTCTCTCAAACTACCACTGGGCCCGCTGTGCATCCCGCTCATGGTTTGTTGTTAAGCGGCCTCGCTGATTCCCGAGCCAAATCACCTTCATGTGGAAAGCAGCAAAGGACTAGTGCTGGTCCGGAGGTGCTGGGCTATCGCACCACACCCCTGTCTGTTAAAAAAAAATGAGTGAGCCGCACAAAGCCCCGAGCCGTCAACCCTGCCTTTTCACAGCACGGGTACCTCCCTATACCGACCCGAAGCCTGCGACCAGATTCTGTACGAGCCTAGGGCCTAGGGTTTGGAGCTAGACGTGTTTATGCTCCTGCTTGGAGCAACGCATGTCGACGGCAAAACGTGCGATGCTAATGATCCTGCCAGTAGCTATTGACGGAGTTCGTACATGTGCGGGGTCGATGAAGCCTTGCGGCTCTCAAAGCTGTTGGCTTTGATGTCCTGGCCCTCCGAAACCGAAGATCGGAGGCCTCTTTCAATGTGGGCCCTGTTCACTGTCACTCTCAGGGGAAAGGGTTTAGGATTAAGAGTTCCTGTGGCTGAGGTTTTGGTCATGCTGCACCTCACCAGGCAGAGGGTTCTCCTTCTCCCAGAGCCTTTGGAGAGTTCCAAGAGTGATCTGGGGCAGGGGATCAACCTCTGTGACCTGCTGGGGAGTGCAACTTACGGTGTCCAAGACCTGTGACCCAAGAATGCGATGAGCTCAGGCTCAGGCCTTGCGGCGATGGCCCTTGAAGGAAGTCCAAGAACTGGCAAAAGGGCCCAAGCAATCTTAATGCCTAGAAAGCAGGCTACCCTTCTCAAGATTTGATTGCGGCCAGGGTAGCTGGGGTTTCGGGTTTGGGTTCGAGCTGAGAACCACCTTAGTTAGCTACCGCAAAGCACTCCGAATGCCGCATGACCTGCAGAACGAATCGTGCAACGGGCGGCTCCGTTCGGAGCAAGATTGTGCCACGGGCCTTGATGGGTTAGCTTTACGGATCTAGTTTCTTGGTTGTTTTGCTTGCGGCTTCGAGCGTTCTGCCGGGCTGAGTTTCAATGATGGATCATCACATCATCACTCGCAGAGATCATGGATGTTCCATCTGGTGCGCGGGAGTTGAAGGCTTGTTGCATCGTTTTATGATGGCTTGCCTGAGTCAGCTAGAGCAGGCTCGCTTCAACGTTGTACTTTCATGTGTGCTTGAAGTTCACCTTCTCGCTCGGGTCAAATGTGCAAACTGGAGGAATATTCCAGCAACCTAGACCCCACTCGAGCCCTCGGTCTACAAGACATGTCGGCGATGTCCTTCTTACTTTGCACAACAGAGAGATTCGTTGTTCGGCTGCCCCGAGAGTTCGTCGTGTCAAGAATTAGGCTTACCACCATCGATACGCGCATGCTTTACCCAACGCCGACAGTAATTCCACTCCCAGACTTGCAATTCAACCTACCAGCCTCGAGTCTGGCTGGGAAGCACCAACACTGAAACACTGCAAAGAGGCAAGAAGAGGAGGAAGCCGAAGGGGATGAGTTGAAGCATGATCCCGAAGCAAAGACCTGAGCGTTCAACCCTTGATGCTTATGAAACTCGGGTCCAAAAACTAAACCAAAATTAGAGACAGAAACCGAAACCCTCACATCCGAAGCCTAAGACCCAAAATCCTAAACCCCCAAACCCCTAAACCCTTAAAGCCTAAGACCCAAAAACCTTAAAACCCTCCAAACCCTGAATTTGCTTTACTTAGGCTGGCCGACCTGGCACCACTCTCAAGCCCCGCAGTTGGGGCCCTGGGCCTGTTGGGGAGATACCGGAAGATTTGGGTTTTTGGGCATTGTGCTAACGGTTTGGGGTTTAGGGTTTAGGGTTTTGGGTTTAGGGTTTAGGGTTTAGGGTTTGGGGTTTGGGGTTTAGGGTTTAGGGTTTAGGGTTTGGGCCATCAGAAGGGTTTCAAGAGGGGGTCTCCAGCTGGGTTCTACAGGTTGGAGCTTGCTTGGAGGGTTTACAGCTTTGAGAGGTTTAGGGTAGCTCAGGATCCTTGAGGGCATGACGGGGGTTCTGCTGACAGGAACTACAGGCCCTGGTTCGCCGCTCAGGGTTTAGGGCCTAGTAATTTCACGGTTTAGGGTGGGTTCAGGGTTTAGGAATTCTTGCCTTGAGATGGAGTCTCGTAAACTCACAAGCTTGGCGGACTTCCAAAAAGCAACGAACCCTGAACCGCGTCGCCTTGCATGCTCAATTCCCCTGCCGCAAGTATCCACCGTGGCAACCACATGCAGCCCCCAACCAAAACGCACAGATTAAATTGCAAGATTGATCAGGCTGCTTCCAGTGCTACGTCCAGGGAGGCAGGGCGGATGAGCAATCTGGGTGGTGGCTTTTGGGGTCTGTTTTTGCCTCATTTCCTTGGTTGTTGACTCTCTCTCTCTCTCTCTCTCTCTTTCCCTCTTCTCCTTCTTTGTCTCTTTCTCTCTGTCTCTCCCTCTCTCTCTCTCTCTCTCTCTCTCTCTCTCTCTCTCTCTCTCTATCTCTCTATCTCTTTCTGCTTCCGTCTGGTGCCATTGGTGTGCCTGCCTGTTTGGCTTCCCGATATCTCTCACTCTCGCATGGTGTGTCAGGCTGTCAAGAGTGCATGCACATGTACACGCCATTTCAGTGCTACTGATTGTGGGTCTTCTTGCGAAGGCGGGTTTCTGCAATAAGTTGAGCACAGGCTGCGAGGGATTTCACGGGTTCCGAGCCCTTAGATCCAAGCAGCAAATGTTACATGGACTCTGGATTCTCAGTAGTATATAGATCCTTTCAACATGGAACAACAACCTGAGCATGTCATGGGAACAGGAATGGCAATGGCCATAGTTGGGTTGCTGCTATCATTCATGGCGTCCTGTTTGCAGCTCTGCTCCTAGTGTCACCGTCACCCGTACTATGCTTATGCCATGGCTGTAACTATAGTGATTGTGGAGAATCGCGAAGCCCTCAACTCCCTGACATTAGACCAGAATCCCGAGCTCCTCAACGCTAAGGGCCCAGAGACCCTAAACTGCAAACCACAAGAACCGCTTACGAGACTGTACAGGGCTCGGGGTACGAAGTTCTGCGAATCTAGCCTCACTTCGAAACAACAACCCCTGTTGTGAAAGCTTCTGGTTTTGCTTCCGCCACAAAATCGAGTAACAGCCAACAGTAGCACTAACCATAAGAGTCAGTGACAATATGACAAATAGGTCAGTAATACTGATAAGAGCACCCATGGTGAAAATAGCTACTTGAGTGTCACAGATGCAGTCGACGGGATCAACACAAACCTCCACCAAACAACACCAGTGTGAGACAGAGCCGCAACCCCATTTTCAGATACTCAGCTTCAAGCATGCACCATGGCGTTCACCTAAACGCACTGGGGCGAGATTCAAGTAGTCGGCCAGAGTGCAGCAGCGAATTGACAACCCGAGAGACCACCAACCGTCCTGCGACGAGACCGCCTTTGATTAAGAATTATGCGGCATGCCGACTAAACTCCCTTGCACATGGACACCAGGTGTCGTCGGCCTACAGCGCAATCGAGGTCGTCAGGGTTGAGCTAGACGAAACTTCATTCTGCATAGCGTTTAGGAGTTAGGGTTTATAATCCTTCGGATTCTTCTTCTGGCGGCCAGCAGTGTTGCTATCTTCGGAGCTGAGTGGAGGGTTTGGTTACTAAGGCCCCTACAATACCTGACGTGCTTTGGATTAAAAATACAAGCACTTCTTGAAGAAATCCAAGAAACTGGCATGCAGCAGCACGTTCAGGCTGTGGTCAAAGCCAGTCGACGTGATGGGCAGGCCATGTCAGTGTTGAGCTGCGTGGTATTTGTTCATTTGTTTCCTTCGATCGGTTATGCTTACTGTGAGCGTGCTACAAGTCGTGTTATACGCAGTTGCTCGAGGTGTACAGGTTGAGGGTGGAAGAAGCTACAATTCCAGGAACAGCTGATCTTTCCGTTGCCTGGGGGTTTCTCTCGGGATCCCGACACTGCTTTGAAGCGTGCGCTGACCGACTGTATGTTTCAGGATCCATGGCGTGCGTGCCTGTCAACCTTCCTTTGGATACTGTGGCCAACCTCTGCGGCTCAGGGCAAGCTGAAGTGACAAACTTTTGCCATCGTTGGTTTGATTTAAGCTAATCTGAGATCAGGTGTGACCTTCCGGCGATGGCAGTGGCAGATCCTGTCGCCGAAGTCAACCCATTGCTGGAGACGGAGGGGCTTCCCCGGTTTCAGTCCATCGATGTAAAGCACGTGGAGCCAGCCATAGAGGCAATCCTGAAGTCGTTGCGTCAGGATTTCAAGAGCCTACAGGAAGAGCTGCCAAATAAGAAGCCTGCATATGAGGGGGTGGTAGAATTGCTGGAGAAGCTGCACCACCCACTCGAATACAGCTGGGGTGTAGTGAGTCATTTGAACGGTGTGAAGAACTCTGATGCCCTGCGCGAAGTCCACCAAGCGATGGAGACGGAGGTAGTTAAGGCTGAGATGGAGCTTGCACAAAGCCGTGTCGTCTTCGATGCCTTGGGCAGCTTGGAGACGAATTCTCTTGCCGAGTCCCGACAGCGCATCGTGGAGTCGTCTCTGCGCGACATGCGGCTGAGTGGGGTTGACCTCGAGGGGAAGGCAAAGGAAGACTTCAAAGCGATGAAACTTCGCCTCTCCGAGCTAAGCACAACGTTTCAGAACAATCTGCTGGATTCAACGAAGGCTTTCGAACTGATTCTCACAGAAGCGAAGGATGTCGCAGGCCTCCCCGCAAGTGCACTCGCGGCAGCGGCACAATCCTACAATCAAGCAAAGAGTGTGAAGTCCGAGAAGTCCGAGGCAGCTCCGGAAGGGGGGTACCATGAAGCACAGAGTGGAAAGTCCGAGAAGACCGAAGCAACTCCGGAGGCGGGGCCTTGGCGGCTCACTCTAGACATGCCATCCTACCTTCCGGCCATGAAGCACCTGAAGTCTTCCGAGCTGCGCGAGAAGCTTTACCGTGCCTTCATCTCACGCGCTTCGGCCGGCAAGGTGGACAACGGGCCTCTCATCAAGGAGATCCTGCAGCTGAGGAAGAAAGAGTCCGCCATGCTGGGCTTTGCGAACTACGCGTCCGAATCCCTGGCCTCGAAGATGGCTCCCAACATCGAGGCGGTGACGAAGCTGACGGAGGACTTGTTCAAGGTCGCGCGGCCAGCCGCCGAGAAAGAGCTCGAAGAGTTGCAGAACTTCGCCAAGACGAAGGGTTACGAAGGGAAGTTGCAGCTCTGGGATGTGAACTTCTGGACGGAGCGCTTGAAGGAGGAGAAGTACGCCTACGACGAAGAGGCCCTGAGACCCTACTTTTCGCTCCCCAAAGTGCTGGAAGGCATGTTTTCGATAGCCTCGAAGCTCTTCGGGGTAGACATCACGCAGAACGACGATGCCGCTGAGCGCTGGCATCCGGACGTCATGTTCTTCAAAGTACGGGATGCCTCCACAGGAGGCCATATCGCCTCCTTTTTTCTGGATCCTTACTCGCGACCTGAGGAGAAACAAGGTGGTGCCTGGATGGATGGTTGCTTGGGTCGCTCCAAGGCGGTTGGCACAAAGCCAGTGGCCTACTTGACCTGCAACGGCTCCCCGCCAGTGGGCTCGAAGCCGTCTCTCATGACCTTCGGAGAAGCCGAGACCCTGTTCCATGAGTTCGGCCACGGTCTGCAGCACATGTTGACTCATGTTGAGGATGGTGGCTGCGCTGGCATCAAGAACGTCGAGTGGGATGCGGTGGAGCTTCCCTCGCAATTCATGGAGAACTGGCTGTACCACAAGGCAACTGTGGAGTCGTTTGCGGTGCACTACGAAACAGGGGAAGCGCTTCCTTCAGACATTTTCGAGAAGATCAAAGGCAGCCGCATTTTCATGGCCGCCTCCATGATGCTTCGTCAGCTGCAGCTCGGTGATTTGGACATGAAGCTCCACTGTGAGTATGATCCGGATGGGTCGGAGACTTTCTTGGATGTACAGAGGCGAGTGGCTGCCCGGTACCAGATCCTTCCGCCCTTAGACGAAGATCGCTTCTTGTGCTCCTTCGCTCACATCTTCAGTGGCGGCTATGCAGCAGGATACTACTCCTACAAATGGGCAGAGGTTTTGTCTGCAGATGCTTTTGCTGCCTTTGAGGAGGCTGGACTTGATGACGATGATGCCCTGCGCTCCGTTGGGCGCCGCTTTCGAGACACAGTGCTAGGCTGTGGTGGCGGGAGGCATCCCAGCAAGGTTTACCGTGATTTCCGCGGCAAGGACGCGACCGTCGATGCTCTGTTACGACACAACGGTCTACTCTGAGACTCTGAGTAGCTTATATACTTTCCAGACTAAAGTTTGAGCTCAGGCGCTGCTGCACAGGGACAGTCTGTGGCGGATGGTGCAAGCCATGCATTGGGACCACTGGGGTCAACCAGCGAGTTTCACTGGAAAGTAAAGAAATTGTGTCGTATTCTAGTAATACATGGTGGCACCTGGTACAGTAGTGGTACTGTAACAAAGTACACCGCATTTAAGAATCACCGCAAGACTAAGAATAACGTAGGGCGGTCAACGACATCAATCATCAGTCGCGCCTGTGAAACCTCTGAGTAGGCGACGAAGGCACCATGTCCACAGCCATCACCCCAACGACCAAAACCCGGAATAACACTAACAGAAGCAAAAGCGACATTGACGACGGTGACGCCAAGGAGAGTGACAACAGCAACAGCATGGCCAGCAAACACAACAGCAACAGCAACCACAGACACAACCAAAACCGACAACTCCAACCACAGCACCGCCACTCACCACCACAGCCCCAAACGAAGACAAAGAGTACCAGTACCACGGACCTAATCGTGACTGGTTGTTATATGGCGAGCAGTATAGGCCAGAAGCATGATGACAATTTGATGAAGCTCATGATGATGATAATGATGATGGTGATGGTGGTGACACTGACGATACTAGTAATGGTGTTGGTGGGGAGGAGGATGAGGATGCGAATGGCGATGGCGATGGCGATGATGATGCTGCTGATGATGGTGATGGTGACGGTGATGATGATGATGATGATGATGATGATGGTGATGGGAGGATGGTGGTGATGCTGGTGATGGCGAGGATGGTGGTGATGCTGGTGATGGTGAGGATGATATGATGATGACGGCGATGACGGCACTATTGTTGGTGATGCTGTCCACGCTGATTGTTGTGCCGATGATAGTAAGCTTGACGATGCGGGTGCTGAGGACAACTATGCCATGCCGTTGTTGAGAGGGGCATGGTGCTGTCTCTTTATGACGGATCCCCAAACTTCCAGCCTCCTGAGCCTCGTTGCCCAGACCTCGGCTAATTCGGCATCAAGAAGGAAGCACGTGCTGGGCCAGTGCAGCCGACCTGTTTCAGGGGGCACAACGATGAAGCCGCGGCAGGAACAGATTCACCGGTAGGACTCGTTGCAGCCGTGAAAGGATGCAAACAGCGTCACCATCAGATCATGTAAACATTCAGACAGATCCCAGCCAGGATGCTCCGGGATTGCCTCAGCGGCAATGCCCGACCTGTGTTCCTGGTGACACTTTCTCCGCATCCGGAGGAGAAGGCCGGGATGGTTTGGGATTGTTTCTGTGCTTGGTGAAAGAAGAAGTGGCATGGCCAAGTTGTAGAACACCTCTATGGAACCGTACTCGCACTCCGAAATCCGGAACATAAGGCTGCCAGCCCCACCATACTTAACATCGATAGCTAAAACCTGGAGACCTAGGCGCAAAATCCTCAAGCTTGCGACCATGAAAGCTGGTCGAAACAACCTGGGCCCTGCACCGCAACGCATCATCTACAATCCAAGGCATTCAGGGTAAGTCCGCAAAGATGTTTTGGAAATCACGCGCTCGCGGCAGCGCAAGTACGTGTGGCTAAGCAAGAGATGGCCAAACAAGTGGTCTTGCTGCGTGGCCAAGTCTTCCTCAGATCAATGTTGTGTGTTGGTTTAACGTGCTGGAAGTCCCTATGTCAGTAATGGGCCTATAACCCCAAAATAGTAGGTTTCATGCAAGGAACCCTAATAAAGGCCCAAGGTTTCTTAATCAGGTTCCTACATTATGGTGCCAGAACTTGATAGGCTTCTGAAAGCAATTGCCAGTCGGCTGCTGCCAGGATTCGTAAAGCCCAGACCAATGAACTCCACTCGCTGCCCAAACTCTTCCACCTAGTAGTAGTTGTAGTAGTAGTAGCAGTAGTAGTAGTAGTAGTAGTAGTAGTAGTAGTAGTAGTAGTGGTAGTAGTAGGAGTAGCAGTAGCACTAGCAGCAGCAGCAGCAGCAGCAGCAGTAGCAGTAGCAGTAGCAGTAGCAGTAGCAGTAGCAGTAGCAGTAGCAGTAGCAGTAGCAGTAGCAGTAGCAGTAGCAGTAGCAGTAGCAGCAGTAGTAGCAGTAGCAGTAGTAGTAGTAGTAGTAGTAGTAGTAGTAGTAGTCGTAGTCGTAAAACACGAGACCTTGAGCGCAGATCCCAAACCCTGTGCCCGAAAGGTTCACACGAGCCATTCCATCACCTTTGCCACGGCCCTCGGGGGCCGATCCTTGAAGTGATCAACACCACGCGGATGAGGTTTGGACGTTGAGATTACTTAGGACCCCAAGCATACCCTGCAGCTCTGGCACAGAGTTACATAGGGATCCTGTCCTCGACAACTACTCTTGGTATCCTTAGTTGCAGCAACAGTAGGGAGCCGAATGTCTGGTGCAAGGAACAGGCGTAGCAAAAGCAAGAGCAACAGTAGACCTTGTGCTTGTTTACGAACTTCGTTGCATCCTGCAGCAGAAACAGTCAGAAGCAGAGTGCTCATACTCGTGAAAACGGACCCATGCTTACGCAGTCCACTGCAGAAAACCTGCCACTCATAATCACAGCCACCACCGCTATCAGCATCGTCGGACGAAGACCATCAGTACTCTTATGACTATTGTTAGCCTTATTCTAATCATTATATTGAATCTTATTCTAATTATGTTTTTGAATCTTATTCTCTTATTTTACTCAAAATATCTAAGTACTATCTTGAACCTTATTCTAATCAATAGTTGAACCTTAGTCTGATCATTATTTTGAACCTTATTCGAACTATCGTTTGAATCATATTCTTATCACTGACACTGTTACTGATTATAACTGCTGCCGTTATATTGTTATTATGAATATGTGGTACTGCCAAAGCCTGGCTTTTGGAGGCAAGTTCTGTAAGTCATCTGGGAACCCCTATCCCCTAGCATCCCGAAGCTGTATATGATGTAGTAGGTCAAGTGCATGTCACGTATAGTAGGCCGTGGAGATCATGAGATCTCTATGATCCTTCCACGAAACGGAGTGGCAACGTGATGCAGGCTTGGCTTCGGCAGAGAAAATGTATACCAAGAATAAGAAGCAACAGTGGCTTGGAGTTCGATTGGATGGGGCCCCTAGCACCGAACATGCTGGCATCTTTAGCTCGGAGGAAACGATAGTATCGGGGCCTAAATAATTTACCTATACTATTTTGGGGGGGCTCCTTATTATTACTATGGTATAATGGGCCCCAGAACCCTATTCTAATCATTAAGGCCCCTATATCACGTAGCTTGATCTGCATGTCGTCAGGTCTATGGCTAGACAGGCTTCCGCATCAGGCTTGGCAGTGCAAAGTCAGCAGATTTCGGTTCTTCCGCAGGTCACCAGCATGACCATATGCACAAGGCAGACATCGTTGACATCTTCAGTTGGCTTGCCAAAGCCTCCTGCCCCCACTCCCAATGCACAGTGGCTGTGAGGCAAGAGCGTCGCATGTTGGCTTGGCCCAAAGAGCATGGTAAAGTGGTGCACCGAAAGGGTTTCCTGCTGCCTTGACACCAGAGTTCCAGACAGGATACCCTAGCCGGCTGTGCTTGAAGAGAGGTCGAGGGTTTTGGCGTTCAGTATTCCACCAACTAAATAACTCAAGCCCTATAGAGCCCTAAAACCCTGCACTCATTACCTACCCCCGGAAGCCACAAAAAAAATGCCGGCCTGAAGGAGCTTCGGGTTTAGGGTCCTGGAACCTGGACGTAAGGCCCAGCCTCGGACGGAGGAGGGATCAAGCCAACAAGCGCAAATCTTTGCCAAGCCAAAGGCGCCTCATGGGCTTCACATCATTCGGGTTTAGGGTTTAGGGATGAGGGCTTTGGGTCAGGATTCGGGGTCGTTGTTTAAGGCCTTGAGGGCACGACCAATTTCGAGTCCAGAGCACACTGTAACAGGAACAGGTATGGACGGTTCAGCGACATCTGAGGGCAAGCGCGAGGCCCAACATCCCAGAGATTTGTTTCCGCCCGAGGGCGAATGCGAGATCCTCATGTCCTCCTCTCTAATGAGATTTTCTGGGTTCTACCCACAACCCCAAAACCCTAAACTGCAGACGCACAACACACCTGCCAGAATGCTTGCGAAGCCCTTGACATGCGCACGAGAAGCCGGGGTACCTCCTGTTTGGAGCACCCGTGGCAGCCCAGCACATGAAGCTACAAGCTTTATCTCCAAAGGCCATCGTGCTGTGCCCATCATTGGTATGCAGTCTGAGTACGTTTCTTATGCAAGTAGTGCCATGCCTTATATAGAAGCATCGTACAAGAAATGAATAACAAAGATGGCGCACAATTGTTTGGGATCCAAGCCAATGGGCAAGAATGCAGCTTGTGGAGTTCATCGACTCTCGGACGTACGGCCTGATCCGAAATTCTTTACACTTTACATCGCGACATGCTAGCCAAGATACCAGCTGCTCCTGTCGAAGACAGGGAGTTTCCCGCAATGCCGCCTGCCGGTGACTTCTCAGACTTGGACAGTTGCTACTGTAGAGCGTGAGCTGTGTAATTCTGCCGTGAACTGCTTAGCAACAGGTTCAACGGTCTTGACAGACTTGGCTGGCGGCTTTCTTAGCCGGAGCCCAGTAGCAAGGTGTACTCGAGCCCAACAGCACACTCAGCCTCAGTCTACAAAGATGTTTGTCTGACAGGGGACGGACACTCGAATACAGTAGTAATACATTCGTATACAACATGTATATAACATGTATGCTCTTTCTGTTTATGCATGGGTGGATGGACGGACGGATGGATGCTTCAAGCGCATCTAAATGCATATCCATGGAAGACCTTCTTGTCTGAAAAATAGCAATTATCAAAAAAACAGATATACGGTGTTAGGAGCTGGCAGGCGCACCTGCCAGGAATCCGGCGGGTTTCACGTGCATGTACCAAGGCGGCCAGTCAACCTGCAGAAAAGTTGGAGAAACTGAGGGGCCCTTGCTAGCCTGATCAAGCTCCTCGCTGGTCACTTTGGGTAAGTTTGACTCGTCGCAACGTTTGAAGCCAAAAAGCACAGTCTCAGCCGCATCAAACCGACAAGATTGAGGGAGTTCAAGCTTGTCCATGTCAAGGTCCAAACCGTGGCTGCTTAGCATAGTTGTCGTGCCCATGCGCAGAATCTCGTGTGGGACACTCAGGGTTTGCATCATGTCCTGTGTTTGCCTGTAAGTGAAACCGTGCCCCCCCCAAATGCAACTTAGAGCTATCAAACCGCATCAGAGACGTCCCCTCACTTTCGGCTTCGGGTTTGCTCCTCTGGCTGTAAAGACGGGTGGGGCCTTCCACCTTAGTACTCTAGACTTGGGTGTTCAACCCGTAGCGTCATACAGCCTTAAGCTTGGGCTCAACCAGGGAATGCAAGTCCTCTGTGTTTCTTGAGAGTCACGAACTGTCCAGTTGGCAGCCGGATGGTTCAGGAGGTGTAGCTTCGTGGTAGCATCAAGCTTAAAAGATAGAGTATTATGTTGCCACTTTTAATTTTATAATGCTAAAGCATACGATAATCATGGTAGAGTATCGTATAACATATTCAAACACAGCATGGTGTAAAAAGATAAACATAACATCCATGAATATCTCTCTATATATACGCATACATGATTCGTTTCATCCTATGTAACATGTAGTATAAAGTACAAAATGAGAGCTGTTGTTCGTTTGTATGTGTGTGTATATATATTTATATGTATATATATATATATACATATGTATATATATATATATGTATATATATGGGCATGTGAAAACAATCATGCAAATAAACACACACACACACACACACACGTAAGACGGTATGTGAAATGTAATATGCAGTCTGTAGTATATATTACATAGTATATAATGTTCAATACAGAACATCTAGTATGGCGTATTCAAAAAATAATGTGCAATAGCGAATACCGTGTATTACTATACAATATAAGACACACCATCTAGCATATAGTATAGCATACGATATAGCGCAATACATAATCTAATAGAGACAGACCTACTTCAACCCGGGCTTCTAGTGCTGCTGTTTCGGCGTGGTGCGGAGCAAATTGTTATTCACCCATCGTGCAAAGTCCATGCTTCTCCAGCAGCACGAGGAATCTACACTTGCACAGGAATGGCCTCCACCGTTGCGATGGCTCAAAGACAAACTAGACAGCGGAGATGAGACCGGTGGAAATGCAGCGCAAGCACTTCGTCGAGTTCTGATCACGGAAGTTGCTCCCAGCTAGATCGGTTCTGCTAAGGCTAAGGCCACGTGGCACAAGAACTTTGCCGGACCAACTGAAGATTCCGAAGCCTCTGACCCCTTGAGCCTTTCCCCTTTGGGGCTGGAAGCGTCAAGATTCAAGGGATGCCACACCCTTTTCCGGCGTCGGCGGTAGATTGGGAAAGGTTGCTATTTCCTCATCATTCTTGGATTAGAGAGGCACAGAGTAGCGTCTGCCGGACATGTCGTCGGAGGAAAGTGAGCCCGTCGAGGCGCTCCGGAGATCCCTCGCAAAAGCAGGTAATTACTATAGGGGCCTAGGGCCTAAATAATAAGCCCATACTATCTTGGGGGGTTCCTTACTCTAGTTATTATAGTATAATGCACACGTATGTCTGTGGCGAAGTCCAGGACGCAAGCGATCGAATAAGGCGGAATGAGAAGGCTGAGATGGAAGGAAGGAACCTGGACTTTTCCCGAAGTTCCTGGCCTCAACAACTCTCAGCCCCTGGGTGTCACAGGCGGCGGCCGCTGGATCAGGCTTGGTGACTAACAGCCGTGGCCTCATATACACTGTATTCGAGGTTATATTAAATATTACATTATACATTATATTATGGATCATATTGTGTTTTCATGTTATATTATAGCTTATGTACAATCGCGATCCACTGAAGCTGTCACGGCGAACATCGGATTCTGTGGTACTCCTTGTGAAATTTAGGTGGGGAGGCAGGACCTGCTTGTGCACAGCTGTGTACAGGTAAACATGTTAGTTGTTGTGGTCGCCCATGCATTCATATATGTTTGGCAATTGTGCATATTTCTGCTCATACATGCAGCGATCTAGATGAGCCACATAGAAGTCCGAATAATCAGTATTATCCCGTTATAGTCCTTACAGTCCATTATAAAGGACCCCCAAGCTCCCATTCTAGGTATTAAGGCCCCTATACATACAGCGCAACAATATCTGCAGTCATGGTGGTGTGTTGTTGGATGCTCGTTGGTCGAGCAATTAATGGCAGGGGTGGCGTGAATATCAACGCTTGGCCATCACGCTAGTAGCAGCACGGACATAGCAGCAAGACGGCAGTTACAAGGTCAGTATTCAGTTTTGGACGCGCTTTGGGACAGTAGCCCCATCGCAACGTGATGACGCAGCCCCAGACCCGTACACGCTGCATCGCAAATGGAATGTGTAAGAAGCCACTGAAGCTTCAGACATCACCGTCACCGTTGAAGCCCCCAACGCTGAAGCACACTCTGAACTCCAGCTCATGAGCTCTAATCCCGATGACTCTAAAGCCCCAAACCCCCAAACCCAAACCCACCCTCAAGCCTTTTAGCCTGCAACTTTAGAAGAAGGAATCACATACAAGCCGAGGCGGCCAAAGTAGTTCGTCCAAGCCCAGTGGAAGCGACTTAGTCCGCATGGGATGTTGCAAGAGAAGGGTTTAGGGTTAGGGCTTCGGGTATGGTTGAGAGGATGCATGGGCAAAGGAGTTCGGGGTTTATGGTTCAGGTTTTGAGGTTTCGGTGTATGATGCCGAGGGTTTGGATCTTACGCCTTTTGTGTTTAGGTTTACAAAACTCCGGGTTCAAATCATAAGTGTTGTTTTCCACGATCTTGGGTCCAGGGATCGAGATTTTGGAGCTTCGGCTTCGGGCTGACATTGTTGAGTTTGCCGGGTCCGGGTCTTGGGACCAGGGCTCCGGTCAGAGTTTGCTGTGCAAGCCCCAGAGCCCCGGGTTTCAGCGACTTGAAGGTTCCAGCTGATCCTTAAACCCTTAGGCCATAAATAAACCCTGAAGGCTTTACCACCCTTAGGGTTTAGGGCTTGGGGTTGAGGGTTTAGGTTTTAGGGCCTGAAGGATCAACTCCCAGCTCCAAACCAAAGAAAACCGCCGAGATGCCAGTCTCATCGTTGCTACTCGCCTACTTCCCATGGATCTGCGTGCAGAGCACGTGTAGTAGGAAATACGACCCCGGTGCTGGCACACTTTAAGCTTAGGGCTTCCAGTTTCCTGCCAGCTTTGTCCAAAACACGTCAACGATTCCACGAAATGCACTGGGGAGTGGGGGACCGGCCAAAGTGTTGGCCATGCCAGCTTTTCGATAGTGTAGACTGTGGAACCGTGAAGCAGATGAGGAAGATCTTGTCGGGCCAACTTCTTGAAGCACCTGCATCCTTTCCATCATGGTACCGGTCACTGCTCATTTGCGAGTAGTCTCTGGCACGGCAGCCAACATACCTCACCAGCGCGGGGTTCAGTGCGGCGAGGTATCATAAAGGCATAGTGTGAATCCTACGCATGTGGGCCTGTATGTATGGGTGTACATGGAAATGTGTGTGTGTGTGTGTTCTGTTAATATGTGTGTGTGTGTATATATATATATATATATATATGTATATGCGTACCCGCGTCAGGCCCAAATAGATTTGTTGCACATGGACTGAACATTTGGTTGCATTACATAACTCAGAATGAAATTACAGGGCATTGCAATACAGCAAAACTTAGAATAGCACTGCTCAGCGAGACACAAGATAGCATGACCTAGCACGCCATGCCATAGCATGGTACAGTGGTACATCTTGACATAACGCCACATGGCGTGACATGACATGACATGACATCACATCACATCAAGCCGCATAACATCACACGCCATAGCATATCATGTGTAGAAAATTCCGCAACCCGACGAAAATTAACATAACGTGCCAGAACGCACGTCCATACATGCATGCGCACATACATAAATCCATACAGACAGACATGCGGACATACATAGATATATCACCACACATGTATGCAAATACATGTACAATTACACATACACGCATGCCCACATATCCAGAAGTATATCTTTAGTTGTTGAGATCAAGTTCATGTATCTTTCGCAAATTTTACTACGCGGATGCTCCAGAACTGGAGGTCGCAATTCTCTGGCTGCGGACCGCGGTGGGGGCAAGGCTATGTTGCGGTTGAGGGTGAAGAAATTGCAGGGTTTAGGAAGCCCCCAGAAGCCCAAACCCGTGACAGGCTCGTGCCTGGTTCAGCGCTTATGGACCTCGGTGCAAGTGCCCCAGTGGCAGCACTTCGAGTACACCATCAGGCCGGGCTTTAGGCGGTTTAGCATCGACTGCCGAAAGTCGTAGTCTTCGCTGAAACTACATAGTTCTTGAAAAGGATACTACACTACGCAATATCATGTAGCAGTATCTCAGCATATACTCATGTCAAGATATGGTTAAATCTTGTTATAATCGTGTATACGATCGACTTTACATCCCAGGCCTCAGCAGCCCCGTGAAATGGTTCGCCCTTCTGAGCCCGAAACCTAGGAAGGCCGCTTACAAAGCTCAAGTTCCAGGGCATCGTCGAGGGGACTTTGATGTCGAGACTGGCAAGAAGCTACCCATCAAAGAAAGCGCCAGACCTTGTAAATGCTCTTATCTTACATCCTGTCATGCATAACTCTGTGCCTGCCTTGGTTGAGAGTGCAACGGATGTTTAGAGGAAGGGATGCAGGGAGGGGAGGGCCGAGGCAAGGAGCAAGGGACGGAACTTGAATAGCCGGTTTGACTGCTTCGGTTGTCAGAACCCTCAAAGTGACTCGCAGGTAATGTGATGTACATGAACCGAGTATAGAAATGCCATAGCTGATCACAGACGCTGCTCAGGGGCTCCACGGTGACGGGCAAAGGAATAGGCTTTGGAGAAACCGTGTGAAGAGACTGCCTTGTTGAACGTGACTTCACACAGCCATAGTAGGATACTGTCTTTGAAGCTTACAGCACAAGACCCTAAACCCTAAACCCCGACCCAAGATAACCTTTACTCTCAGGCATGCAGCTTGAGACAGCTTAGGCCCGAGACCGCAAAACAGTCGGAACCCTGAATGCCATGAGCTGTCGCTTCCAGCTCATGTCGTCTTCTCTGATCCCTATGGAATGTTCCGGCCGACAGGGTTTATATACACTTCAGCATAACATGGCAGGCAGAAGTCCGCGGCCTTGGTCCCTAATACCGCAAAGTTCAGCAAAGAAGTCTGCGTAATTTCACACAACCTCCAAATCTTGCATGAGTCTCTCCCCTACAGGTTAGGGCGTCGATCTATTATAGGGGCCTTAAACATTACCTATATACCTTTTTGGGGGGGGATCCTTACTTCCTGCGGAAGAAGCGTCCTCGCTTTGCCAGGGCCCAGTCGCCCTCCTGGTCCGGGTGCAACGCTGGAGGCGCGCGGTTTAGGAGCTGGGTAGTTATAAGTGGGGGTAGGAAGTCCCTAGAGTATGGGTTATAATTATAAGTGAGTAAAACGAATACGTCATTGTCATCATCTTCATAATCTTCATGTTCATATTCGTCGTCATCGCCAACTGAGTTGGTGTCAACCTTGTGACTGCAAGGACGACGATCCCTTGAAAGGCTTCGAGTTGAGCTTTTTGTCCGGGCCTTGGCAGGTAGAAGTTGACGTTCGCCAGGGTTTTTGCCTTCGTGGATTTAGAGTCGGGGGTTTACATACAGGTTAGGAGAGGTCCCTAAGACAGGATGTAGTATCCTAGCAGAGTCCACACTACAGCGCTACAGTTTACTTGAAGTCTGTGTGCATTATGCAGACGACTGAGCTAAACCCATAATACCATGAGTTGGGAAGCCTTCGGGAGCTGCACCTGGACAGACAAGTCTCAGTCTTTGTCATGCTCTCCTTGCTAGGCAAAGTCTGCAGGTACAGTCTGTTCAGACATTTTCCTCCGGATGCATGCCGCAGTGGAGCACGGCCAGGTCTGCAGTACAATCCGACGTGTCAACTCAACAGCAAGTTTGCCTATCCTGAGGTCGTTGAGTGGCGTGGACGACACAGTCTCTCCGCGAACGCTGTGCGACATTTCGCAGGACACGTCGGTTGTCGGGTAGGCAGGTTTTGGTGCGAAATCGCGAAAACAAACGAAACACGAAGAGATTGGCAGCTGCCACGTGTCTCTCTTCGAATCGTTGCTTCACAGTTGTGGTCTCAAGCTAGTCCTTTCCCAGCACCCGAAAACCTTCGCAGATAGCTCCGGTGCACTGAACAAAGCGGCTTGCGAAGCCCCTTGCTGCCTAGCTGCCCGATTTCAAGGTAATTTAATACAGAGGGCTTAAAGTTTGTTACCTATCCAATTTGGGAGCTCCTTGGTTTACCTTCCGAAATCTTCCGAAGCCCTCTTCACGCGCAGTTCGCAGTAGGTTTGAAAAGGCTTTTACGAGGTTTTCTGATTTCGGGATTCGGATTTACCGGTGCACGCAGGGTTTTTGCACTTCGAGGGGCTTGGGGGGAAGGGGTGGGGGGGGGGGGGGGGGGGGGTAATTCCGTCATGTCCGCAGCTTGACTTGTTGTTTGCTGCGTTAGGGGGGGCTTCGCATTATCGCAGCAACCAAGGCGAGGTCGTACAGGTTAGCTCGGTTAGGTCTTGGGTGAGTGAAACAGACTTTTAGTACCAGAGACAGACTTGCAACATGAGAGTGTTGTTTCACCCTCAGAAACAAATGAGACCGCAAATGGGGATTCAAGGTATGCCTAGGAACATCGACCATTAAACCCTAAACCCTAGCAGGCGATGTTGGTAGTTGGAGCAACGGGGCGAGCCGTCAGGGTCTACAGCTTCGGATAGAAAGTCAGCCGCTAAACCCTAAACCCAAAATGAATGCTCATAAGTTGGGGACGCGATTGTGGGTGGATGTCTCGTGGCAACTTCAAGTTTCCGGTGCATCGACTTCCTTGTAACGTCTTGCGATCCGAGCGAAACATGTCCTGTGACTCCTTGTGCGCACTCATAACGACCCTCATTCCTGTACAACCCTTGTAGATACTGACATATAACTCATACTTCGGAGATGACACTAGATCTTGGATACCATTCCGAATGGCCCGGATAACGCAGCATTTCCGCGACCAAGGCCCCTCTCACGCGCTGAAACGCTTCCACAAAATGCAACAAAACGCAAACCAAAACAAAACAAAAAAACATACACCACAAAACGCAAACAAACACATCGGCATCATAAAATGCCACGCCTGCCCTGGTTTTAGAAGATACCATTGTCGATGCCAGTCAATAAACAGCTTAACAAATCATTCTTGGTCTTGCGTTCGCGCCGGCGGCAAGCCGTGTGCCTGTCTGCTCCAACCGCTTGCAATCAAACAAAAATGTCAATTCCCTCGGTTTTTTGACCCTTCCTGACAAAGCTCGGACCTCCTCATGTACTCAAAGACCTCCGCGACTTGCTTTTTACGAGGCGAAATGCTCCTGCATATTTCCTGTTGTTGCTACTGTCTCGATTTCTTCTTGTTCTAGCAACGTACAAAGCGCAAATTCCTCGAGTTCTCGACACTTCCTGAAAAAGCTCCGTCCATGAGCAGACCGAACAAAACACACTGTGTAGCATCTTCGTGGCCTCAAAATACTCTTGCTAGCACCTGCAAAACAGATTTGTTTCGAGTTTTAGTGCGGCTTTAAGCAAAATGCGTCATTGCCGCACCCAGAAAATCAACAAACATGTTGTGTTTGTAGTGGTTTTTTAAGCGAAGAACGCTGGTCCGTTCTGCCGCGCGCGCGCCTGAACAAGGCGTCGGAGCGTTATAAGTATGGCATACTAACCCAAGGCACTGTTCTAATTGTTAAGGTATCTTCAGCTTGGAACCTTGACCCCACCGTTTGACATTGAACGTTCTTAACCGCTGCCCTAGAAAGTCTCAGCCTGCAAGCTTTGTCGAACCCTGCACTCCTTGGAAGCCTCAAGATCAAGAACTTGAAAGCCTGATACTCATGCCTTAGACCTCGCATCTTGCAACTGACAAGGCACAAGTCCAGAACACCAAAGCTCTAAGCACAATGGGGTTTGACATCTCAATCCTTTGGGTTCTCAACCGTGCAAAGTGCCAACTTCGATGCAGGAATTTTCCTTCGTGGAGTTCTCCGCTCAGCTGTTGGTTGCATCGATATGTCGGTCAATGAGCTTGCTTGTAGTTAGACTCAGACCGCCCTAATGTTAGGCTGGGGTTTGCGACGAACAGCTTGGGAGATGTGCTTCTAAATTTCGGACCGACTAGCCTGGTGGCCCAGCCAAAGCTGTGAGCTCCGGGTCGCCACAAGCCATTGGGCCTAAAGACTCCGAAACCACATTCGTAATATCGCCGAAGACTTGGTTGCTCAAAAGAACCGTAAGCCCTCCCCGACATCAACCCCAAAGCCTGAACCACCTTCGAAAAAAAACATCACCAAATGTCAAAAACTGAGCCTGAACGCTGAACCCTACCTTTCCCATGTTATTAGCAGTTCTATTGGACCGTGTTCCTCATAAATCCTGTACCCTATCTGCCTCAAGTCTAGCTGTAACCATATACTACTTATGAAGGTCCGCATATTTGTCATCCCCCATGGTACGGCAGCTCCGAGGAAATCCCCATCTCTGAGTCTAACTTATCATTGTACCTCAATTTCGTTGAAAAGTTCAATTTCTATTTTTTGTGTGTGTGTATATATAAATAAATAAATATATATATATATATATATATATATATATACACGTATGTATGTATATGTATGCATGTGTATACATATATATATATATATATATATATATATATATATACATATGTATATATAGAGAGAGTTGTGTGTATATATATATATATATAACTATATATACATATGTATTGAACAAGGTGGGGAGTCAACTTCCGGGCCGAGAAGCAGGGTCGCGAGCCGAGATATGCGCTGCACTCAGCTACGTCGTTTGAGGACCGTGTCGGATTTTCGGTGTTGGGGTTTAGGGTTTAGGATTTGGGGTTTAGGGTTTAGGGTGTGATTTCGGGAGTTTCCGGGTCTCGGTGGGTTTTGGGGATGTGGGTAGCCAGGAGTGGAAGTGTCTGGAATTCGAAGTTCTGGCTTAGGGCTTCCTTCTAGCAGTACGTTTTGCTTACGTGTCCCCTGAACCCTAAACTCTAAGCCCCAAAGCCCTAGACCCTAAACCCCCAAACTCTGAACCCTAAACCTCCAAAACCATAAACTCTAAACTGTTGCAACATCGATCTCCTGCACTTCGGATCGTAATTTGCCAAGTGAAAACAGTTCGTTGAGGGCGGCCGTGGACTTGAGGCGATATTTTTCGGGGTTTGCTGATGACAGTGTGGGGTTAGGGTTGCCGCTTATTTGGGATTCAGACTTTACACTGTAGGGCTTCGAGTTTGGGTCAGTGGGTTCTGAATGCCGTGGACTTGAGGCGATATTTTTCGGGGTTTGCTGATGACAGTGTGGGGTTAGGGTTGCCGCTTATTTGGGATTCAGAATTTACACTGTAGGGCTTCGAGTTTGGGTCAGTGGGTTCTGAATGAGGTTATGACACCAACTGCGGGGTCCGGTGACACTCAGGGCTCCAAGCATGGCTAATATAGGGGCCTTAATAAGTACCTATACTATTTTGGAGGTTCCTTGTTATAATTATAGTATAATGGGCCCCAAAACCCTAGTCTAGTTATTAAGGCCCCTATATAAATTAGCCGGCTTCAATCTTGAAGACTAGACCCGCGGCCGCCCTCACTCGCCACCCTAGCCCTCCTCCGTTTGAGACTTCATGACACAGGCGCGGGACTCGTGGACGGGTTTTAGTAGAGGGTTTCGTAAAGGGTTCTACGGGATTCAACAAAACTGAACTTAAGTTACCAGAAAACGAGAATAATCCCGGGGCATCAATAATTACCAACACTATTTTATGGGGCTCCGGATCATAATTCTAGAATAATGGGCCCCAGAACCCTATTCTATTCATTAAGGCCCCTATAGTATAGTACCCTCATAGATCCGTTAAAGTAACCCTCATTGACCCTTCTTAAAGGAACCCTATTCTAATTATCAAGGCCTTTTAACCCAAACCCCATAGTCCCCAAACCCGTTTCAGGCCTCGCTCGCGTGGCTGCGCCAGCTACAAGAAGAGAACGGGGCCTAGCTGTCCGAAGAGATAGCAAAAAGGGTGCCTTAAGAATTGGAGTAGGGGGTTCCCTTTAAAGGAGCCATCTAATGGTTACTATAATGGATCTCTACGGGTACTATAGTACAGGGGCCTAAAAATTACCAATGCTATTTTTTTTGGAGGGAGGTTCCTTACTATGACAGTATAATCTACCCCAATGCCCTTTCTAATAATAAAGGCCCCTATGTTAGCTTTGTTTCTGCTGCATGTGGTTAGCTCCTTCCAGCAGTTCAGCGTTCACGAGATGTTCTTTGGGTTACAATGGTCGAAGGTCTGCATTTGGGGTCCTTCGGCGCTTTGGAAGTTCGGGCCTGGACGGATATAGTTGGATTCGTGAGGTTGGTTGAGGGTTTAGGGTATTTGGGGGGGGGGGGTTCCTTTAAAGCGCTCCGTAAATGGGGTCTATCAAGGATCTAAAAGGGTACTATACTGTGGGTATTGGGTATTGAGCAAGGGGTGATGCTGTAGTGAGTGACACTATTGATGTTGGTTACGGCGTGCAACGGGGTTCACGTGAAGGTCTGATGTTGGCCACACGATCCCAGTCATTTGAGATTTCACTATCAATGTGCCTCGGATGCTAGGCACCGAGCCAAATCCCTACTCGACTGAGAGACTGAGAGAGAGAAGAGAGAGAGAGAGAGAGAGAGAGAGAGAGAGAGAGACTTCCCTTGGCCCGTAACACGCGCAATTACAACGAAAGAAGAAGGAAGGAAGGGAGGCATGAAGAGAGGTAGGGAAGGGATGAAATGATGAAGGGAGGAAGGAAGAGAGACAGCGAGAGATGACGAGAGACTCTGTGCGGCATTGATGAAGTCTCGTGTATGTCATGTCGTGGTTGATTTTCCGACCTCGGAACCAAGCCAGAATCCCTAAACCTCACACACTGAAGCCTGTGACTGCAATCCCCAACCCAAAAGCTGCGGCTCTGACGACAGATAAGGGCCTGAACACTTAGCAGTATGATATTGTTCCACAGGGCTCCTCAACAAAATGATGCTACAACATATCCTCCCTCCCAAAACTCTGTTCGAATCACTGACACCCCATCACTTACCGCACAATATCGAAGACGAAAGGATCGATCGGCGACAGCAGACCGGAAAGTTTGCTCCGATTCACTTCGCTGCCCACCTGGGAGGCTGTGTAGTTTGGGGCATTTTTGGAGTTTTTAGGGTGAGCTGGCATAGGTTCAATGGCGCTCTGGGGTAAACTGAAACTTTTCCCATTGGACTTACTGAGAAGCTGCATGCAGCCAGAATAGTGGTATGCGGTATCCCTTCTGTTCATAGCTAGGAAGGTTTAGGCCACCGTAATCCCCTCACCTTCAGCACAGTCACAAGCTCCGTCACTCAGACAGACAGCCGTCAAAGGCAGCCCAGTAGGTCTGCACAAAATCCCTTCTGCATCAAGAGCAAATCGGCCGCGTCTTATTTTTATGCTCGGCCAAAACACTGCTTCCCGAACATGCGACACCCAAAGAATTCTAGGCTTTCTACCCAAGACCTCCGAATTTCATAGCTAGTAATGGCAGCTTACAGTGAGTGCCTGTATTCTTCTGGTCCTATCAACGACGCCAAAGCCAAACCCTTGAACCCCATGCTCCAAAACTTTGGGATCTCGTCCCGCCGAGGTGAGTACTGCGTGGATGTCTTAAAGGGCGATGCGTCGCTGGTGCGCACACTCTGGGAGGCCAGACCGTCATTCACTGTAGTAACAAGTACAGCACGTGCTCGTAAGAAATATGGGGTAGATGGTGGATAGTTTCGAGTCACTTAATTTAACTTTTCCTGCTGACCATCAATTTCGAGCCGCCTTAATTAGAGGGACTCACGGAGGGTTGCAGACTGCTCCGGCCCCTCTATCAGACCAAGTCGCTTCGGCGACCCAGGGACGTATGCTGGTATGAGGAGAAAAGCACTACGGAGCACGAGGAGGCAACAAGGAACCTCCTCGTAGACCGTGAACACAGCGACATAACGCAGCAAGCTTGAGCAAAAGTGTTTAAGCATGCTAGTAAACAACAGTAAGACGACTGCAGAAGGTAGTGCTGAAACTAGTTACTCGTGTTTTTCGTAAAGGCGACGATCGCAACTTACAACGTGTGTAAAACTGTTTGATCATCTAGCAGTTATGTACATGTAATGTAGATATGTGTGCATATATACACATGTACAGGTACATCTATACATGCACAAGGGCTTTTAATATATGTATGTACATACACATCTATGTATACACATGGTATAAATACTTATGTATATATCTATATTATATTACATTATCCTATGTGCTATTACATTACACTATATCCATGTATCAATCTTCCATTCTATCGATCTGTCTATCTATCTAGGTACATACATACCTGTATACATTCATAAAATTACACACATGATGTATGTGTGTGTATATATATAGTATTATTCTATTATACCTCAGAGGCCAACAGCTTTAACCCGATGCCTGCTTGTTGGAAGGATTATGGCTTCCTGCGGGTGTACCTCTGCCCGACGCGCGCCAATGGCGTGAACAGCTCGCAGCTGTCAGAGCCCTGGGTTTCCTCCTGCGAGTTTGAGGGTTCAAAACGTAAGTGATAAGAGTAAGAGTCGAGAAGAATGGCGATTGTTGCCGATAGTGTTCCTGGCTGTGTTGAGGCTTCAACTTTTGGGAGGTATAGGATTTGCAGTTTGGAGGTTGGAGGTCTCCTTTTTTCTCGGTACATGAGCTTCGACTCGAAGAAGAGAACGCTTGGAATACACGTTTCAAGGGGCTTCATGCGAAACAAAGCGATTGAGGTCGGATGCTGCCCTGTCTTCTAGGTCGAAGCTTTAAGACCTTGGGAGCATTTAGGCGAGTAGATGCATAGGTTTGCACAACCTGGGCGTCAGAAGCTTAGTGTATAGTCACATCAGAATCTGTTGTCTGTTTCGCCGGTCACTTCGAGACTGAAAGAACTTCAGGCGACGCTGAGCGATTTCCAACAGCAGTGTCCAGTATTGTTTTGCCGGACGGGCCCATGTGATATCGCGATGACGATGATGGTGATGATGCTGGTGGATGCTGCTTTGCTAGCTCTAACTGCCGTCGAAGATTTCACGTCCTGGCTACCCAGAAGTGAGGCGTTCAAACGGTTTCAGGGCACCAAGCACATCCGAAGTTAGGGCCACATAGAGGCCTTTGGTGTCTCTGTTGCATACAGCAATTGGACGAAAGTGTTTCTGGCAGGTGACCTGCACGCTTTGGTCACGAACCCCTCTCAGTCACGTCCGAGGTTCAGCATATCCCCACTCAACTTACCTCTGGTTTGTAGGGAATGGAGGAATGTGGTACAATTGTAACTCCTATTACTACCATTCTTCCATTCCCTACTAACCAAGGGTAACTCAAGCCCGGCTATGCTCGCCAGCAGCTGAAAGCTGAGGAAGAAGTACCTGCAGTCGCTACGGTCAGTGATCCTGGCGCTACCCCAAGTCGAGTTTGTCTTGCTGGTGACCAAGGACCTCCTCAGCGGCTTTTTGTTGCCCTCTGCGGGTTTGAGCTTGAGGGCACTGAACTTAATAGGTTGCGGCCGCTTTTCACATCAGGGCTTGGATTGAGAAGTCCGGAGGCTGGAACTTCAAGTCCGGAGTGCCTTGAATGCAGGTACTATAAAGGTCTAAATAATTACCTATGTTTGTTGGGCGGGTTCCTTATGATGATTATAGTATACTGGGCCCTATAGTCTTCAAGAAGGTCCAGTGAGAGCTTGCCCGTTAAATTCTTTATTCGTGACTCATGCCGACATCAGTCGGTAGCCTGAGTTGTAACCAAGGGAATCCTACAAGTGCAAGAAACCCGTGCAAACACCGGAAATCATTCGATCAAGCAAGTGTGGAGTTTCATCACAAAGATGGTTGTGGTGGGGAGGCAGAGGAAGGAGGTTTGGCTCCGTAGCGCCCATAAAATTACATAGTAGCAGTGTTGGCAGTGTGGCAAGGACAGAATGGATTAGTTCAGGAGCAGCTCCGGTCCAAGAGCCGGTTGCCCTAACCCAAGCTAGCAGTCCCTTTAACAGGCTAGCTTGTGTGTTCAGGTTTTGAGGTTCATCGCCATGCAATCATGCACGGTATTTGCATCGTGGTTCGGCGATTGGCAGGTCATACGTGGCAGTGGCATAGTAGTAATAGTGATAATACAAATAATGGTAATATTAGCAATAACATTAACAAGAGTTATACGGCTATATCGGACTCGTGAACTGCCGTCGCGAGGAGACGAGGGCGCTGACGTTTCATTTGATGCTGCTCAGCCGAGTTAGGCTAAGATGCATCCGAAAGTCTTGGCCAGATCGCTTTGTAGTAATCATAGTAAGAACGGTAAGAATCATAACAGTAATTATACCAATATTGGTAATAGTAGTAATAATGGTAATAATACCAACACTGGTAATAGTAGTAATAATAGTAATAATACTAATAACACTAGTAATGGTAATAATAGTCTCCCAAGAAACCTTACCCTCATGCGAAACGAGTTACGTGTCTTAAACTCGCCCGATAGACGCCGTCGGATCTTCTGCCAAGTCTCTACAGTAGAAGCCCGAAAGTTGGAAAGCCAACAGCCTCAATCCTGAAGAGTAATGCAAAGGGAATCCCAGCACTATTTGTCCTGAATCCGGTTTCCAACTTTTGGGGGTTTACCATACGTGGTAAAGCCGATGCTGCTGCAAGAACTTTAGGCAGCTAGAATCTGCTTCGTGCCGGGATGGCCTTTTTCTGGATCTCGGGTCTGTTCCAGGGATTGAAGCTGTTCACAGTCGGAGTAAGGGGTGTTCAGCGGCACTTAGGCAATTGTGGCCAAGAGCTGATAGTCCGCAGGAATGGCTGTGGGACCGAGTGCACTGCATCAGTGTTTACACTAAGAAACTCCTCGCGTGCTCCTGTCGTCAGAGGGGCATGTCGGCTCCATGAACCATTTTGCAGCATCGCACCACATGTGTCCGCGCAGATCAACAGTGCATGCTCGCATCCCCACGGTCCCTGCTGTCACTGCTGACTCAGCCACATCGTTCACACTACATCGAGAATTATCTTGCCTACGCCCGGAAGTCATTGTGTTCACATATTCCAAGAGATCTCATAAATTTCAAGCAGCACGTTCGGCACACAAGGGCCAAGGGTGTCGCAGGCCCTTCGCGGGGGACAGTGCGTAGCGTAGCTCTCGTTCCTTTACAACCTTCCAGGTCTGTTTCTACGCTCTCGAGAGGGCTTGAAATTGATGAAGAGAGTGAATAGAGATAAAAACTCGTCTGTCTTCAAAAACTCTGCTCGATGACGTCCAGGCCCAAAACCGTAAACCGCAAGGCTTAAGCCTAACTCGACACCACTGGATTGTTGCCGCAATGCCATATAAATTCCGACGAATCACGACTGCTCAGGAACGACTGTCAGCCCAACCTTGCGTTCTTCTACTTTTCAGAGGCGGCCATGCTGTGGCGACGTCCCCGTCTTTCTGCTGTCGAGGGTTGTTGAAGAGGGGTTCAAGGCCTTGGCTTCGTTCAGAGCTGATAAAGCCTTGCCATGCTCTGGTTTGCGTCGCATGTCTATAAACCACCTATCTGGCCGTGCATCATCCTCTTCCAAGATTCCTAAATGGCAGAGATTTCGAAGATGATGTCCACGGATATCCGCTGACCGTCATGCCTTCGTCCGTTCCAAAAAGCCAGGTCAATGCGACGTTTGTTCTTAGCATCATGCATTCATGCATCCTGGCCTGCTTCTCTTGCATCAGTTTGCATAATGGTTTGCCAGCTATCCTCTTTCGCAGAGGCCTAGAAACCAAAGCCTGACTTGCTTGAATGCCCTCGAACAGAGACTGTGGCAGGAAGCAGAGGCAGGCACCAGCGAAAGCAGCGATAAGTCGCGCCGCCGCCCCGGAAACACAGAAATGTGGACATCCGTGGTTCAGTGACTTCCTGAAACCTAAGTCGTCCTACATAAATGCGAAACCAAAAGTCTCCAGAAATAGCAAACTTCTGAGGTTACGGTATGGCTGAGTTATAGGATTCATGGCTTTGAGCCTGCATAAGTTCTGGGAGTTGATGGCAAAAGGCTGCTATTTCGTCCCAAGGCCTATGCAGTTCCCCACGAGTTCAGATTGGAAGGGCGCAGCTGCCACTTCGAATTCCATGGGCTTGGCACAAGTGGTTCTTCGGCAGAGTAGGCCTTAGGCAGAGTCTTGAGCATGCAAGCTGCACGCAAAAGTTGCACATAATTCAATGAAGTGCGCCGGGCGTCGAAAGTACAGGGGGACAGGGTCAGAGGGAGGGCGATGGAGGACAAAGCGTGACGGAATGAATGATTGTGTATGTCCGTCTGCGATTACACCATATTACATACATGCTCACTTGCATACCTGCACACCTACGTAATTACGTACTTCCTTGCCTACACGTACAACTTCAGGTATAGGCCTGTCCATATTTTCGTACAGACAGGCATGCATACAAGCATCTCTCTCAGGGGTCCAGAGCACCGCGCCGACGAACGGGCAGAGTTCACGGGCGAAGCGGCCTGCGTGCACCTGGCATCATCTCTTTGCCATGCTCGGTGTGATTCTGTGGTTTCGGGTTGTAAGTTGGGGGAAGATCCAAGTACCCTAAATCCCGTACCTTGAAAGCCAAGCCTAAACCGTAAGCCCGAAATCCTTAGAGCTTCGAAATTTCCCTCTTGGGATTCCGGTTGGCTCGTTTCTGTTTGGAGTCTTGAGTTTTTGCGTTTTCGGAGCTCAGGCTTTCGGGGCTCTGGACTTTGAGTATTTTGATATTCGGTTTTCCTGGTTCAGGATTGGTTTTATGTTTCGCAGGCATTTTGGAAAACTTAGGGTGGAGATCAAGATGCCCAAGCCCAGATTCTGCGAGGCCATAATTGTTTGCACGCCAGGGGCATCTAGGAGGCGCTGGACAGTTACATCTTTGCATGTTTGAGCCCAACCGGAAAGATTTCTCTGCAGAAAGGCCCAGGAGAAGCATCTTAAATGCGGCATGTGCTGGACTGTTTCGTAGGTTCGGGGTTTCAGAGATGAACTTCAGGGAATGCCCGTAAATGAAATATTCCGTAGCTATGGAGAGTCCGAAAGTTCAGGCGGCGGTGGATGCAAATCCCTGCCACAGAGCCCACTTAGACAAATCCTCGACCTAGGGCCCTTGCACAAGTTAAATCCTTTGAAAAACACATACAACGGCGCGAAACCATCTGAAACACCGCAGCCTGAAGAATTCCCGAGCCCTCTCGACATGCAAGTTTCGCACCGCTCACCAGCTGGAACCCCCAATATCTTGCAACCCAGAGCATCCGACTCTGAACCCTAAACCCCTAAACCTCTAAGCCCCTAAACACTACAACCCCTAAACCCTTAACCCTTAAACCTCTAAACCCTAAACCCTACAACCTCTAGACCCTAAACCCTCCAACGTTGGCCAGGCCCTGCCCGCACCCTGGCATACACTGCGGCTATGGCGGCGGCCTGACGAGCGACTTTGCCCTGGTTAGCTGTGCAGTTCAGGGTTCGAGGCTTTAGGGTTTAAGTTTAGGGTTCAAGGCTTAAGGGTTTAGGGTTTATTGTAAGGGTTTAGGGGTTGGGGGTTCAGGCTTCAGGGGTTTAGGGTTTAGGGTTCAAGGCTTAAGGGTTTAGGGTTTATTGTAAGGGTTTAGGGGTTGGGGTTCAGGCTTCAGGGTTCAAGGCTTTAGGGTTTAGGGTTTAGGGGTTTAGGGTTCAAGGCTTTTGGGTGCATGTTGGAACTCTCAAGAGTTCTCTACGTGCTCTGAAGTATTCAGCTACTTGCAAATCCTGTAGGCACAAAGTCTTGTTTTCGCAATTCCCGAGTGCCGGACACGAAGGAGCCTCGAGCGTGAGAGATAGGATTGCTGGTGATGCAGTCATTGAGGGAGGACTTGGGTTTGGGTTGAAGCAGCAATGTTCGACAACTTCTGCTTTCTTCTTCTATACCTGCTGTCGCCGCTGCTGCTGGTTCTACAAGCTCCCCATCCTGATCCTCCTCCGCCTCCTACTAGCGCGACTGCGACTGTTGCGGCTACTGCTGCTGCTGCTATTCCTACTGCTGCTGTGGCGAGAGCGCGTCATCAGACACTTCCAGCTACCGAACAGAACTGCCACTGCTACCTGCTACCTACTAAGGACCTACCACCTACGACCCACTACTTACTACCCATTACCTCCTACCCACGACCTACTACCTCTTAAAGAGTAGCTACGACCAAAACCCACCACTGCTACTACTACCACCACTACTGCTACTGCTGTTGCTACTGCTACTGCTTCGAATATTTACTAACACCACCACTACATTAATCTACAATACTACTATACATCAGACTACTACGTACCAGCTTTACTAGTACGGTCAAGACTACCACTGCCCCCCCTCCACCGACCGCGTTAAAGCCAGGTGAAAACCTCACGGCCGAGCTCCGGAACATCGCACGCGCCGTTGGCCCACCGAAGCGTACGGCCGGGGAGCCTGGGAAGAGCGTTAGGTCTTGAGCTTTGAGGCTTCTGCATCATAATCCATGGGTATGTGTATGTGTGTATGGATGAATGTAGACGTAAGTATGTCGACATGTACGTATATGGTCTCTGTCGCGGAGCTTTGGTACCTTTTGTTTTGCGTTATGCAGGGCTTTCTGTTCGACACTGCTTTCGGTAGCACGGCGTGGCTTAAAATCGTTCTTTATGGTTCGGCTTGGCTTGTAGGAAGACCTGTGAATGGTGACACTCTTGAAAGCAACACAGCGTGTATATGATGTTATATATGACAACGTAGAAGTGATCCTGGGGCTCTTCAGTTTGTGGTTTCCGGAAATCAGGTTTCTGTCCTTTACGAAAAGGCAAGAGGTGCTGCTTACTCCACTGTGTCATGAAAGACCCGAACCTGTGCGGCCGCGAGTCTCCACCTGCGTTGCTTTCCATATTCGCGTTGGTGTTACAAGGGGGTCGTGGTCCAATCGTCTTGGTTTTACCCATTCTTCTATGTATTCTGAGTGGTCTCGTTGTCCTTGGAGTCTTGTTTCTATGATGATTGTTTTTGACTGCAAGTGTGCCTTTCGGTCACATTCTTCTGCTGCAACGCATGCTGCCAGTGCCGCTAGTGATGCTTTGTTAGTGCAGCACATGCTGATGCTGTGAAAACTCAACTCGACGGTCTTTATTGCTTTCCGTGTTGTTATGATTGTGCTGCTGCTAGGCTTTACAGTATTCTGCTCGCTGTTGTTTGGCACCGTG